CCATACACTCTTCTTCAGTTACTTTGCCCGTATTCTTCTCTCTGCTCTGACTTAGGGTTTAGGATTTACTGTCTGACTCTCATGTCGTGTTTATTTTATATAAGTAAACATTCATACATACACTACTCAGTGTTTTGGTATGCTCTTTCTGATGGCACGCCTACTTAGGTTCTTAGCTTATTATAAGCAGGAGAAATGAGTAATGCACCCTTAGTCTTAAAAGTAGAAGGTTGTTGTGAAGAGGTGTCGAGTCGGTTCTGACCCATAGTGACCCTCTATAGGGGTTTCGAGGAGCAGCTGGTGAGCTTGAACTGCTGACCTTGCAGTTCAAATGGTTTTGCAGTTTGAAATACAGCCCTCAATTTGGTCTCCACCTCAGAACCTTGGGTATTCCCAATTTTCTGTCTGGGATTGCTATTTCAGTTAATAGTTGTAGGTACTTTGCCTGAACTCACACCCCATATCATTGAATTTTGCAAGTGATTTTAAGAGTCAGTTGGGGAAGAATAGCATAGTGCTCATGAGTCAGTTGCCTGGGGTTAAATTAAATCCCAACTGGTGACTCTGACACAAGTTATTAAACCTGTTTGTGCTTCAGTTTCCTCATCTGTAAAATTGAATCATCATAGTCCATACCTCAAAGGGTTGCAGTGAAGAAATAAATGAGCTCATGCAAACTGTCAGCCATGTAGTAAATCCTCAAATAATTTTGGTTACAGTTACCATTGGTTTTCATTTGAGCATGTGGATGTGAGTGGACTGGATTTATGTGGTTGAATGTCACTCTAGCATCATTTCAGTGTAACAATATTTGGGAAGAAGAGCTTATTAATGGACACGTCGAGAGTGGTGTGTGTGTGTATGTTTGGCGTACTGGGTTCCTGCATGTCATTTTTACTGAAGTCATCTAAAGGTCTGGTCTGAAATCTTTTTTTTTTTTTTTTTTTAAGTTGAGCTGCAATGGTATGCATATAATTCTCAAAGTTGTGCAATAATTAACCCATTGCTGTCAGCTCGATTCTGCCCCATGGCGAGCTCAGATGTTGCAGAATAGAAGTGCTTTCTAAGTTTTCCTTGGCTATAATTTATAAGAAGCAAATTGCCAGGCCTTTCTTCAGCAACACTGCTAGGTGGGTTCAAGCTGCTAACCTTGAATCCATGTCCCTCTGACTCTATTGTAGAAAGTTTAGAAAACGACCAGATATTCCCCATAAGTAATAGAGTCCTGGTGTGGTGCTGCAGTATAATTCTCTGGACTGCAAGTTCAGATTGAGCTGCAAGGTCGGCAGTTCAAACCACCAGCCACTCCTTGGAAACCCCACACAGAGTTGCTGTAAGTTGAACATACCTGAAAGTACTTAACAACAACATTTGTTAGAAACTAGTGGAGATTGCTAAACTTAGCCCTGTTCCCATTTTGCCCTCTTTTTCCATTCCTTCTTGCATGATCTCCATTATGGTAATTCTTCTACCAAAATGGGGCAGAAACCTGGCACTCTGAAACACAACCCAGTGAGAGTCAGGAGACTTAAAGTTGTTTCTCTCCCATTAACTAGCTGTGGGCTTTTGAGGAAACCCCTTAGCTTCTTGGACATTCGATTTAACTTCTGTGCAATAGCGAGATCAGCCTTCAATGTGTGATCTCAAAGGGTTTTTCCAGGTTGGACAGTTTCAAGTTCCTTGTTTTTCCTATTGCAGATTGTCTTTCTATGGACGTGTGTTAGCTGAGACTCTGTTTGAGCCGACTTGGAAGGCAGGACCACTGAGACTTTCTGTAGTACTAGAAAGGAGTTCAAAAATCTGACCTTTTGTCCCGACTGTATAGCTGCCCAGCAATGCTTTACCTGCCAGTGCTGAGTAGACATCTCTAACCCATGGAAGAGTAAGAACAAGTATGGGCCTGGAAAAAGGAGACATGACTTGGATTAGGCTTTAGTCCCAAATAAAGAGGTTTTGTTTAAACTTTGTGTCATGTACTCTTCTACACCTCACCCAGATCTAGGACTGAATCATGTGAGATTAATCTCATCTACATGCAATATGCAGATGATACAACCTTGCTTGCTGAAAGTGAAGAGGACTTAAAATATTTACTGATGAAGATCAAAGACTACAGCCTTCAGTATGGATTGCATCTCAATGTAAAGAAAACAAAAATTCTCACCACTGGATCAATAAACAACATTCTTATCAACAGAGAAAAGATTGAAGTTGTCAAGGACTTCATTCTTCTTGGATCAACTATCAACACTCTTGGAAGCAGCAGTCAGGAAATCAAAGGACATATTACAGTAGGCAAATCTGCTACACAAGACATTTTTAAAGTGTTGAAGAGCAAAGATATCATCTTGAAGACTAAGGTGCACCTGGCCAAGCCATGGTATTTTCAATAATCTCATATTACAATAATCTCATAATACAAAAGCTGAACAGTGAATAAGGAAGACCGTAGAAGAATTGATGCTTTTGAGTTACGGTGTTGGAGGAGAATATTCAAAGTGCCATGGGCTGCCAAAAGAACCAATAGATCTGTGTTGGAAGAAGTGAAGGCAGAGTGCTCCTTGGAGGCCAGAATGGCCAAACTTCATCTCTCATACTTCGGACGTGTTGTCAGGAGGGACCAGTTGCTGGAGAAGGATATCATGTTTGGTAGAGTGGAGGGTCAGAGAAAAAGAGGAAGACCCCCTGTGAGATGGATTGGCAAAGTGGCAGTATCAATGGGCTCAAGTGTGGCAACAATAGTGAGGTTGGCCCAGGATGGGCAGTGTTTCGTTTTACTGTACATAAGGTCACTATGAGTCAGAAACAACTTGATGGTACCTAACAACAACAACAACCATCTATATAAGGTTTGAGGTACTGCATGCATCAACTTCTAAATGAGGGTTAAATTGTGATCAAAACAATAACAAACACTAGTATGGATTGAGGATAGGATTATACAGATTTTTTTGAATGGCTAGATCACTGATCATTTGTAAAATAGTGAATGAGTTTTTAGTTCAAGGTTTCATGCTACTAATTGAAAGTATGATTAGTTTCCCAGGGCTGCTGTAATAAATCGGCATACACTCGGTGGCTTAAAATCATAGAAATTTATTCTCTCAAAGTTTTGGACACCAGAAATTTGAAATAAAAATGTTGGGTAGGCCACACTCCTTTTGAAGGCTCTAGGGGGAGAATCCTTTCTTGCCTCTTCCAGCTGGTGACACCTGACATTCCTTGGTTTGGGGTAACATAACTCCAATCTTTGCCTCAACCTTCACCTAAACTTCCATGTATGTCTCCTTCTCTGTGACCTTTGTAAAGAGCGCTGGTATTGTAGCGGTTACGTATCAGTCTGCTATTCTCAAGGTCAGCAGTTCGAAACTACCAGCGGTTCCACAGAAGAAAGATGAGGCTTTCTGCTCCCATAAAGATTTACAGCCTCGGAGACCCTGTTCAGGGTCACTATGAGTCAGAACCAACTCCACAGCACACCACCACCACCACTATGACCTTTGTCT